CCCTCCTCAAGGGAGGATAAATCGCCTCGAAATTTAATATTTTGGCAACCTAAATTCGAGCTCGCCTCTTCAATATTTTGAGAGGTGTCCGACCACATATTCCCCGCGTTTTAAATACAGGCGAACAAAGGCAACCACGGAGCTAATTATGGAGGCGGTTTTTAACCACGACAGGTAGTATATACATGATAAATTATGTAAATACTCTTCTTAATAACAATATTATTTTTGCTGCCATGACAACAAGGAAGCCACGAGGGGAAATTTGATCAATAATAATAATAAAGTTTGCACATAGCCTTGCGCACGGACACTCTGTGTTTGTACGCTACAGCCTTGCAGAATTATCTATATACAGAGTTCTGGTTTCATCGTTTTTCATCTGGTGTTTAATTCGTTAAGGTTTACTACAAGATGCCTGTAAAATACAGTGATATTGAGTGGAACGGTCAGCCAGTAGTTTGGTATATAGTGTATCGTAATATAGAATTAACATCGGGAAAAAATGTGGAAAAACCGTCGATCCATGAAGCTGATGATGAGGTACAGGAAATGTGCGATGAAGTAAGTATGTTAAATTGGATTTGAAGTTCTAGAATTGATGCTTTATCAAGATAACAGCACGAATCCCTGGGCTAAGCACAGTAGGAAACACAACCTCGTTTCCAATTAAGTTGTTTTCTCTTATGCTCTGGTGCCACGGAAACATTGTTACAAAAACATCTGAGAAAATCGATGTTTCTTCTTCTTCATTTTTGTCGTAGGAACAATGTTTCCTGGTTTGTCTATCTTCGGGAAATATGGCTACAGAAGACAATGTTTCCTGGTCTGTCCATCTTCAGGAAATACATAGCTAGAAAACATGTTTTCTGGTTTGTCCACCTCATGGAAAGCATGACCAAGAAACAATGTTTTCTGGTTTGTCCACCTTCAAGAAACATGGCTAGGAACAATATTTCCTGGTTTGTCCACCTTCAGGAAACATGACTAGGAAACAATGTTCCCTGATTTATCCACCTTCAGGAAACATGACTAGAAAACAATGTTTTCTGGTTTGTCGATCTTCGGGAAACATGGCTACAGACGATGTTTCCTGGTTTGTCCATCCTCAGGAAATACATAGCTAGAAAACATGTTTCCTGGTTTGTCCACCTCGTGGAAAGCATGACCAACAAACTATGTTTCCGTAACAATGTTCTGTCCGCCTTAGGCTAAAGAAATCATTTCACAAATCAAGTTGCTCATTAAGTATCCGCATATCACCAGTTACGTTCAAAATATGAAAGTCAAATACTATATACTACAATATAAAACTATAGATTCTAGTTAACTTTAGCTCGTTTTTCCTAGTTAAAAGAAGAGGTAGCAAGGTGGATCAAAAGGCCTATTGAAAACCTGCAGGCAGAATCATTTGCGGTGCAAGTCGTTCACTCTGGAATACACTTTTATATAAAGGTATAGAAAATTTTAAATAAATTTAAATAAATGCATGAGACTTCATGATCTATGGAATTGTCAAAAAGAAAATTTCAATGGGGCTTTACATTTCAATGGGGCTTTAAATTAAAGACCATAACTCATAAGGATTGATTTTCATAACTTCCAAGATCCTTATGTAATATGAAGCGTTATTAGGATCATAATTCAAAAAGAAATTCTATTGTGCTAACACTCAATATATGTTTCTTTTATTCGAATAACACAATTTGAATTCGAAAAAGGAAAATTTGAAAAGGGAGTTTTGGCATTTGAAAACTGAGTTTTGGCATTTGAAAACTGAGTTTTGGCATTTGAAAATAGATTTGTGGCATTTGAAAACAGAGTTTTGCCATCTGAAAAAGGAGTTTTGGCATTTGAAAACTGAGTTTTGGCATTTAAAAACAGAGTTTTGGCATTTGAAAACAAAGTTTTGGCATTTGAAAAAGGAGTTTTGGTATTTGAAAAGGGAGTTATGGCATTTGAAAACTGAGTTTTGGCATTTGAAAAAGGAGTTTTGGTATTTGAAAAGGGGAGTTATGGCATTTGAAAACTGAGTTTTGGCTTTTGAAAAAGGAGTTTTGGCATTTGAAAACAGAGTTTTGGCATTTGAAAAAGGCGTTTTGCATTTGAAAACTGAGTTTTGGCATTTGAAAACTGAGTTTTGGTATTTGAAAACAGAGTTTTGGCATTTGAAAAAGGCGTTTTGCCATTTGAAAACTGAGTTTTGCCATTTGAAAACTGAGTTTTGGTATTTGAAAACTGAGTTTTGGCACTCGAAAAAGGCGTTTTGCCATTTGAAAACTGAGTTTTGGCATTTGAAAACTGAGTTTTGGCATTTGAAAACTGAGTTTTGGCATTTGAAACCAATTTGAAACTAGAACAAGCGACATGGACAGCGAGCTATTATTGCAATTTTCTTCAAAAGGCGATTAATTAAATTGAAAGTTTATATATTTTCAATGCATGACCAGTTTGGAATCCTTGCATAACCAACAATGTCACTCACAAGACACAAAACTTGTATGAGAACAAAACCATCGAATTTACAAGACTTTGCTGTTGATAGCATGGTATTCATTGATATAGACGTGTTTCGTTTATTTTAAAATATCTTGCATAAACGTTTTTAACATTTTTCATTCTTTAGGCAAGTATATCAAGCAAAGAATGCGTTCATCTACGGATCCACCGTCCATACAGTTATAAAGGCGAAGAAATGACGCTTGAGGCAGTGCTGCCTAACCAAGGAAAACAAAAACCATTGAACTATTTTTGAGGTTTCTAATTAAATTGAATTTTCATTATATATAATATTAATAACTACTAGCTGGTCTAGATATTTGTTTATAAGATGAATTTTCATTATATTAGGTATACATTAGTGTAAATATATATGTATAGAACTGTACAACTTAAATAGCAATATAATTATGCATGTTGGCTTAACTAATATTGTAAATAATTTATTAAAATGCTAAAATTATCATGAAACACAACCTGTAGTTATAAACGAAGAATCGTAGGAAAATAAACAATTTGTGCAGTTTACTTTTGAATATAAATACAATACGATCTTGCAGTCACGATTCAGTGACCGAAATGTTCCATTATCTTTCCATTGTTTTAAAATTCTTGCAATCTTGTCACGAATTGTCTGACATAATTTAACTTAATTATTCTGCAATGGGCCAATTGTATTTGACAAGTTATCCGGTATAAAATGCAAATTCAGGTTGAAAATACTACAAAGTTGCATGCATTATTTCCAAATGATTTTAAAAATATTCAATGTTCCCATTGTCCGGCTGAGCTCGTTCAAGAATGGCCTGCAAAACTGGAATGGCTTTGAGCTCATTTTTACGACTAAAAATTCTCAAATGTAGACAATAATTCTGCCAGACGTTCACCTGCATATGAAGAAAGAAAACAAAGAATTTATTAATCAGTTTTAATGCCTCTATTTGTTGAAAAATAT